CGAGGGGCTCTGAAATCTGCAGGGCAAGGGTAATAGTCAAGAGGCAAATACTCGTGTTTCACTCTTGCCCTGGGTCCAGTCTTTATGCTTTTGACAGGCAGAGCACAATGACCTCTTCAAAAATTACATCCCGTGATCCCTATCTTGTTAGCATTAGAGCAGTTTTGTTCCAGAAACTCGATACACCCTCTGTAATTGTTCTTGAGGCGGAGAAGAGTTAATGCTCGCTTCATACCCATCCCTTTGTTAAAGGTACCTTGTGGCAAAACTCAGATGACAAGGAGGCTGCCATAGAAGGTACCAGCTTTGCTTGCCAGACCTGACAGTGAAATCAGCTGAAACATCAGCTGCTGTTTCTCCTGCCCCTTGCTGGCTGCACTGGGAGAGGTCCCTGTTTCTGGCAGGTTACATCCCAAGGGGGCCTATTGCATGAGCTTCACTGCCTGAATAATACTGAAATCAGTGTATTCTTGCCAAATAAGGCCTTATTTTGGGTCAGATACTGTCCAAACACAGGTGACGGTGTTTCTTACGTGAGTTTTAAAATTGGAGCTGTTTCCTACTGAACTGCTGATCCAGCACTGCTCTCTTGGAAACTGTAAATATTTGGTAATTGGCACAATCCTTCTGGCCTTGAATGCTTCCCCAGCCTTCTCCTGCCACAGCGAGGGAGCCAAGTGAACGTGCACAAACAGGAATAAAGTGAAGCCTGGGTGCCCTGGGATACTTGTTTGGAACGCTGCTGGTCTGTGTTCACCATAAGCTATGTATTAGAAGCAGTAAAGTCCTAAACCAAACCCTTGGTAACTACGTACTGTTGAACTGGTAAGAATAGGCTTATTATGGTCAGGAGGAGTCTGGTTTGCCTCTGCAGATTGTTCAGACTTTATAGGAGCCTGAAGGAAAACAAAATCCGAGGCTTGGGGTAGTTGAAAGAAAGCAGGATTAAAATAGCCCAGGAGAGAAAGAGGGGGGTGAGGAGTCTGGTGCTGCCAACTGCAAGTGCTCCTTGTTTCTGTGTACTTTCCTCTGCCCTTTTGCTCTCTCAGCTGACTGGTCTGCAGAGCTCAGTCAGGAGGAGGGGAGGGAGGAGGAGGAGGAGGCCTGGCAGCCCCTGCAGTTGTTTTAGGTCAGGGCTGGAACTGCTCACTTGGAGAAAGTAAATACGTCTTGTTTTCATCGAGTAATTACACAACAGGAGCAGGAAGTGATTGTTACAGTGCAGTTGGAGAGGGCTGATGGAAAACATCGCCGGTGACAATGGCTCCATTTTTAAGGCCTCAAAACTTTATATAAGTGGAACGGTTCCAAAAAAACAGTGAAAAGGCGGAGTCAGGAATGTGGCTGTTTATAAAAGGCACCCAGGCTCCAGTTTCATGGCAAGTGGCTTGCTTAGGTCTTGATCTGCCACCCCTTGCTGAAGACTCTGCTTTCCTTGATGTGTGTTTTCCCCTTTCTTGTGTTTCTGAGATTTATTTTTCCATTAACAACTTCTACTTGTTCATCTGCTTTGTCTTGGGTCTATCTTGAATAAAATTTCTGGATTTCTATCCATCATTGTTGAGGACTTGAAAAAGGGACTGGCTGGGAAATGCCAGGGGTTTGAGCCAGCTTGTGTTGAGGGCACTGAGCACTGCCTTCTGTGATCTGATACACATTGGTGGTGAGAGGGTGACACTCTGTGACCTGGTCTGCTCCTTGGCACCTCTGCAGCAGAGCAGCTCTGCTCTGGGTGCATGGGGGGAAATCTGACAGTAACCCTTTGCTTTCATGTGCTGAACCCAACCGTGGAAGCTGAGTCAGTTCTCTGTGCACTCAGAGCTCTGTAGGAGTCCACATCAATTCCCAGGACAAAGCTGTGGTCTGTGTCAGGGAAACAGGGTGTTCTGGCCCTGGCGAGGGCGTGCGGCAGCCTGACGACACCGTTGTACCTCCTGTGGAGAGCACGAGTCCTTCAGAGCATTGGGTGGCACCCGCACCTCCTCTGCTCTGGAAGTGGTTGCTTTGAGTTGGCTGCTGTGCTGTTGAGGCAGCCAGCAGGCTTGCAGCTTTGTTTCCAGTGCCGTGCATAGCAGCCTGGTTACCTTGCACCTCGGGCAGCTCACTGCAAGGGAGTTGGCCTCGTGCCCCAGCACCCTGCCAGAACAGAGCCACCTCACAGGAGTGCACATCCACGTGTCCTGTGGGTCAGCTGGAGCCCCTGGCCTGGTGACAGACATAGAGGTTTGACCTCTGCCTCTGTGGCCTGAGTATTCCCATCCCAGGTTCAATCCTCTGGGACATCTGCCTTTAGCTCTCGGCAGCCAGCTCTCTCTAGAGGAAAGGCAGCAGTGGATGATGGCAGCGTGCAGAGCTGGCTTCCCTCTTCTCATGTCATAACGATTTTGCTTGTTAGTGGCTTGGAAAAGCACCTTGATCTTGATCTGAGGTTGCTTTGTGAGTCAGCTTGTCCTCATGCCCTGTGCTGGAGGTATTTGTACTCCAGCAGTTGTGCTTTAACACCTGGGATTCCTTGAAATGAGGCTGCTCTTCAGAGTCGGTGCTTAGCTGCCCCTCTCTAGCTGCAGTAGTTACCAAGGCCATTCTGTGACAGTTTGATGTGAGCTTCATTGTCAGCGTTGAAGAAAGTACTGGTACAAAAAGAGCTGAACAAACATCCAGAACAAATGCCAACCAGACACATGGACCACAAATACCGATTTTTAAAATTATTATTTTATATAACAAAAGGTCCCAACCGGCAGCCAGGAATAACAAAACCTGTATGTCCTCTGTTCATTTCTTAGTACTTTGTTCACCACAGAAACTTCAGCTATCCCCTGGAGCCCGAAGGGTGGAGACTGGTGAATCCAGGAGCTGTAAGAGTGGTAGACTCTTGCTGCCTCTGTCATCGAGTAGTCAGGAGCCACAGACAAGTCATCTCCCTTGGCTTCTGTGTTCCTTCCGTGGTCATTCCCAGGGGAGATGACAGTCAGGAGAGTCTCTCAGGAGGTCTTCTGATGTGTCACCCTGCTTGTGTGACATTCTGTGGTTGACCTGTTCAGTGTATGAACACCTCTGAATTTGTGGCGTGCAGTTGTTTGCTGCCTTTTTGTCTTCAGAAGGCAGTTTGGGAACAGGGTGTGAGAGAAAATGAAGGAATAAATTCAAGACTCTTGTGTCTGGCACGTGTCCCCAAACAGGCCCTGCAGATCCGTGCATGTCCAGGCACGTTTATGCACAAATAGCAATGACTCAGGCTGTGCAGAGGCTCTGTGCACGTGTGTGGGGTTCTGCATTCACATACAGTTCTGTCAGGAGTGCCAGTTCTTTGTTCGAGCAATCTGAAGTATCCTGAGTAGTTCTGAGAAATCTGAGTTCATTGCTGCTGTCTCGGAGTCTTATAATTATGAAGGTTGTTAAGATGGAAGAAAAGGTCAAACAAAAGCTAGAGGCCAGGCTCCTGACAGCTCAGACAGAGGGAACGTGCTGTTGTTTTTCCAAGGCTAGTGAAACTATGATGAAATGTTGTGGGAAAAAAAAAACAAAACAAAACAAAACCAAAACAACAAAAACCAGTTGCTTGTCTTGAACCCTGGTACAAATACTCGGTATGCCATGTAGAGCTGGCACAGAGGGCATTGCCCACTTGCCCCTCACGCTCGGGGTGTGCAGTGAGTTGGAAGCCTTGCTTTAAGCCCTTTGAATGATGGAGGTGCAGGGCTCATCCTGCGTGGCCCACGGCGGGGGTGACGTGGTGCTGTGCAGCCAGGGGACAGAGTCGTGACGTTGGTTTGCTGACGGTGCTTGTGTTCCTGGGCTTGGTCAGGAGCTGGGCCCTTCAGCACGTGTCTGCCAGATGCAAATACTCCTTCTGCAGCCAGGCTCAAAATCGTACTCGGGTAAGTTTTGAAACTGCCAAAATAAAATGAAGGTGGTTCTGTTTGTCTTTTAAAATCCATTTTCAAGCTCTGCTCTGGAGCCAGGAAGTTTGGGAACTGACCCAAGTGAACAAGACTGCTGAGATCCTTCTGCAATCAGAGGGCTCCAGGAGCTAGGCTTTGAAAAGTCCTTCCAGACATGACACATCTTGTCATGAAGCTGTAACAACAAAAAGGGGAGTCTTACAGACAGATCAGCAGTTGCTCCATGTTCCTGTTGGTAATGACTTCATGTGACAGTAGAGCATCAGGCTCTACATGGACTATGTTGTAGAGACACTTTCTATCAAACATTGATATATATATCAAACATTAAGTTCAAAACAGTGTAGTTTTGGTCCTGAGTCATTTGCCATGTCCTGTGCCCCCCAGCTTTGCAGACAGAAGAAGTAAAATGCCACCAACTATCAGAATCACTGTCAAGTTTCTGCAGCACTGCTGTCCTGTGTCCCCTGGGACAACAACCCTTTGTTTGTAGTGAGGACAGCTTTCCCAGGGCATGGCTGGCCTCACAAGCCCTGCCCTCCTTTCTGGCATGTGGGGTCTCCTCCTGCTCCTCCTGCAGTGCCACTGGCTTGAGAACAAGCTCTCTAGCATTGGGCAGGAAGCCACGACACGTACACAGGTGTGCATTTCCTGGTGGTTGGAGGTGTCTTGCCTCGAGGTGGTGTGATATTCCAAAAATATTTATTGATGTTCATCTGGAATGACCTGCATATCTTGCCTGTGTCTTCAGAAGATGCCAGCTCATCCCAAACTGATTTCAAACCATCCAATTCCTCTTCACCTTGCAGAAAATCTCTGGAGAGAGGACCACATTCTTGCAACCCTCTGTCCTGGTTTGACCACAGAAGCTTCTTGAAAAAACATGTTCATTTTTGCATCTGCTTCAGATCTGAGGCGGATTCATCCCCAAGCTGGCTGGCAGAGTGTCTTGTGGATGGCAGAGAGAAAGCCACAGGGCTGGCAGCCTGCTGCAAGCATCAGGGATGTCTGCACGCTCCCTTTGTGCCATGGGCAGCTGCACCCCGAGCCCTGGGACTGCAGGGAGGGGCAGTAGCTCATGGCTGGATTTCTCCTCTCTGCTTTGTTCTCCACACGCAGCTCTTGCTCAGCTCCAGGAGCTGTTGACCTGGTTGACCATTGATGATGTTTCCAGGCAGTGTTTTTTCATAGTGGTGTTTTCTTAATCACATTCCTGTTGCTCTCAGGCACCGAGGCTGGTCCTAGAGTTCATCTGCTGCCCCACAGCAGCACCAGTGCCTGACCAGTGTTTGTCTAGTGTCTTCTGAAAAATGCTGTCCCTGGGCAACCTCGCTGTTGGAGTACTGGCCTCATGTTTTCCTTCTGTTCCACTATGTGTATTTTTTGTCTGATGAAGCTGGTTTGCCCCCAGGACTGTCCTTCCATTCTGTGTCTGCACAGCACCCAGTGCAGGAGAGACCTGTCAACCGTAGCCAGGGTTCCTGGGCACTGCTGGCAGCAAAGGTTAATGCTTGCAAAGCCTGTCTTAAAATTTTATACTGTTCTCCTTAACTTTCATAATGATCTCATCCTGCATTGCCATGGGATATGTTCCATGCCCACATCTTTGGGAGAACAGCTTGGGAAGGACCTCAGTTGAGAAAACAGCTGAGATTCTGGTGTTTCAGGCAATTTGCAAGCTTTGCTGTTGGTACTTACCAGTCGAAACAGCAGTTGGAGGAGAAACAGGCAATTTTCCCAGCGTGTGCAATGCTACAGAAATAATTCTGTCTTTCAGTAGGCCCTAGCAGTGAAATTTCACTAGGAATAACCAATAAAAAGTGTGTGGCTTTTATCTTGCTTCCATCTTGAGCTTTCGGATCCTGGCGCGGGGGGAAGCGCCCGGCTTGCCTGCTGGCAGGGGTGCAGTGCCCATGCCTGGGAGCAGAGCTGCTGCCCTCCCCTCCCTGAACAGAGCTGCTGCCCTCCCCTCCCTGGGCAGAGCTGCTGCCCTCCCCTCCCTGGGCAGTTTGCTCATCGTTGCTCAGCTCCTTCAGACCAGCTGCTGGCTGTGGTCCCTTCGTCCCCTCGTGGGTGGAGTTCCAGAGCTGCTGAGGTCAGGTGTGTGGTGCTTTGCTTCTCCTTGCAGCAAGGAGGGTCCAGAGCCAAAGGTGCAGATAAGGACTGAGTTGTGTAAACAGTTCTGGCTCACTTTACTTGGAGGCTGAGGATTGAGAGTAGACAGGTTTTAAGAGAAAAAGGGAAAGTCTTAACCTCAGGTAGCACAGCCTGTAATTTGGGAGAGCTGCAGGAGAGGAACAAGGCTTTTAAACTCAGACCTGTCGTGTATGCAATGTGAGTGTGCAGACACTGCTAGTGAAAGGGGGGGAGCATACCTGTCTGCAGTGCTGTGTGGTGGGGGCCTGGCATCTCCACTGGTGTCTCTCTGAAGTGCCCTTTGGTGCCCTTCTCTTTATTCCTGTGACTTAGATTGGACTACATATTCATATGTATGCATGAATATTCATACACCCAATTAAAGGTGGTATCTGTAGCTATTCCTTGCTGTGTGATGTTGAAAATGCTTTCATGAGACAGGGTCAACCTGTGGCTCCCACACCAGGCTGAGGAAGGTGTGGGTGACCTTCATCTGTTTCTTGCAGATCTCTAGTGCCTGAACTGTTGTATGCACAGAAACAAGTAGTGTGCAAGGTTTGATGCAGGAGAGCTTCTCCTTGTTCCCAAGCCTGCTTGTCTGGAGCTCCAGTGCTAGGATGGGACTGAGTGTGCTCCTTAGCAGAGCATCAGATGTCCTGGAAACTTCTCCCTGAATCTTCAGGCACCTGAGCAGCTTAGGTGGGGTTGCTCTGAACCACCATCCTGCATCTCCTGGGCAGAGGAAGAAGTGCAGTGCTTTAGATGCTTGCAGCTGCAATCAGATGGACCTGCTGGAGTGACCCAGCAGCCCCTGGAGCAAAGCAGCACCTCCTGCCATTGCACTGTGGGGAGCTGCAAAGCAGCCACCTCCCACAGGGTCCTGTGTGGCTGGAAAGGCTGCAAAAGCCTTGGGCCCATCTGGCTGGAGGGACCAGGTCCTGGGCACACGACAGGTCTTCAAGAGTGGGACAGGGGAGCTGCCACTAAGGTACATCAGACCTGAGGTTAGTTGGGAGCTTTATTGTGGTGGCTTCTGCCCTTGCTTCCTGCTGCTCATGGAGGCAGCAAGACCTGGAAGAGAGCTGCTGCAGCAGCAGCTGCCTGCCTCTGTCCCAGGCACCTGCAGCTGACGCCCCTGGGGGGCAAAGGACTGGGGTGCAGGGTGGGATCCCCAGACACTGATGTGTAGCTGGACTGATGATGTGCTGCTTATTCTCTGTGGTGATGGCTGCCAGCCTCGGGCTGGATTTGGGAGTGAGAAGGGGTGTCAGGCTTGTGGCTGCCCCTTGGTGCACGCAGCCTGGACTAGCTGGGTGCTCTGAGATTATCCCTGTTCCTAGCTATGAGAACATGCAAAGGCTGCAGATTTGCCTTTGGCAAATGGCCTCTCAGACCCTTCTCAGCATTACCTGCGTTGTTTGGGCTTCCTGTGCAAATGTTTCTGTGACCCTACAAAGAGATGCATACATGGTGTCTAGGAAGCCCATCCACGTGGCCATCTGAAAACTAGCCAGCCATGAGGACACAGCTTTCTGCAGGCTCTCCTGATATCTGGCAAGTTTGAGCTGACTGCAGGCAAGCTGCCTAAAATACTTAGGCTTGTAAGTGTTGAGCTCTTGTGCTCTGGATCTCCAGCCTTTGAGGTGCTCTGTCCTGCTGAGGCTTGTACACGATGAACACGTGGGAGTGGAGCTCTGCAGGAGGAGGGGGCACACACTTCTGCCTGGCTGCTCAAGGTGCTTCTTGTCACTGTGTCCTTCAGGGTTCCTGAGGAAGCTTTGCTGTACCAGTGCCACCTGCAGTGCTGATTTCTGCATAACTCCTTGCTGATTGGGACCTCAGGGGAAAATTGTCTGTGCCACTGGGATAACTCTGGAGCATTGGATAGGGTGAAAAGGAAACCTGAGGAACTCCATCTTCACTCATAACACCCAAGACAAATATACCCAAAATTTCCTTTAAATCCAAATAATCTTGCTCTGTCTTGGTAGCCCATGGAGTCCTACAGAAGAAAGATCCTATCCTATAAGAGGGATATTTTCCTCTCAGAGGAGACGAAAGTGGTGCTCAAAATCTTCTGCGATCTGGTGACTTTGCACTCTTGTGGCCTCTGAATAAACTCCAGCCTCTTCCCAAAAAGTTATCTAGCCAAAGTCAATTTATAAGTAATGAGATTTTAGTGAGTAGTTAGAGGAGAAATGCTCAGTGTTTGGGGGGGGAGAAACACTCAAACATGTGCACTTGACCTGCCCTACGTGATCCCAGTGGGTTCATGCAGCACGGGGGCTGCATGAGGCAGGTGAGGAGAGTTGGGCTGGAAGCAGGTGCTGTGCTGGCAACTGTGTGATCTGCAGGTTGATCCCTCGACAGATCCTGTGCTACTCAGATCTTGCATTTCTAGGCAGTCCTTGGCTGTTGCCCTTCACCCACCAGCTTACCTGCTGTGATCCTTGAAACTGCTTCCTCTGGGCAGTTCAGATGAGCCACTGCAGGCTTGAAGCACTTCCCAGAGTAATGGTAACCTAAGGAGGAGTGTAGGTGTGTCATGTCCCAGGAAGAGCACAGAGAGCCACACCTGCTCTTAGCATGGCTTTTTCCCCTCCTTTCTGCTGCTTGGAATGGCAGAAGGTGGAGCAAGGAGCAGAGAGGGGGCATTGGATTTCTCCTGCAAGGTCCAAGAGTGTGCAAGCACCAGGGGAGGTTTAGGTTGGATATTAGGAAAAACTTCTTCACCAAAAGGATTACCAAGCATTGGAACCAGCTGCCCAGGGAGGTGGTGGAGCCACCATCCTGCAGGGGTTTAAAAGATGTGTGGATGAAGTGCTCAGGGACATGTTTAGCAGTGGACTCAGTGTTAGGGGAATGGTTGGACTCGATGGTAAAGGTCTTTTCCAACCCAAACAATTCTATGATTCTATGAACTCTGGAGGAAAGTGGGTTAGAAAGTGTGAGAACAGCTGCAGAAAAAGCCTTCTAGTGTGTGGGTCATCTCCTTGCTTAAGTTTCTCATTCCATATCCATGGCAGGCCCAGAACCACTTTCTGTCAGGCCAATAGCTGTGGTAGCTGGTATGTAGATGTGTGGTGGTGAAGGAGTCCTCCTTGGCAAGGCACATCTCTTGGGCTAAGGCTGTGCCAGGTAGTGCTTGGAAGTGCACAACAGGCAGAAGGAAATGGCTGAAATCCAGCCCCTGTTTGGAGGATCGTGTCCTCTGGAGAAGCAGCCAGGAGACACAAAGAGCCCACACTGCCAGGGCTGAGACCCTAAAGCTGTGCTGCCTCCAGCACCGAGGTCACGAGCAGCGTTTGCTTATGGGATGTGTAGGAACACAGCTTTGTAATCCTTACAGACTCATGGAAGTCACTTGGCTTGCCTGTCTGTTGCCCCGTTTTCCTGGGCAGGGCAGCGTGTCCCTGCCGTGGGGTGGCTGCTGTGCTAGGAAGCCACTGAAGGGTTGGGCACTGAGGCCCACGCCTGGCTGACCAGCTCACTGCTGCAGAACGTTCAGAAAAGGCCTGGTGGACTTCGCATTTCTTTGGCTGTGCCTCTCTCTGTCTGTGTGGCCTGCAGGGTGGTTCCCTGGGTCTCGGCTGACCTGGCCCAGCCAGATGTCTCTGACTCCTTTTCTTTGCTCCTTTCTTCCCAGCGGATCGTTGTAAGGAAGTCCAGCAGATCCGAGAGCAGCACCCAAGCAAGATCCCGGTGAGTTCTCCTCCTCTCTGCTCTGCACTGGCCCTTCTCACAGCCCCTCTGCTGCTGGGGAGCCCCCACCAGCCAGCCACGGGGGGGACAAAGCTTTGCTCCCCACAAGCCTCCAGTGCCTTGTGCATGCCAGATGCTCAGTAACAGACCACATTCCCAACAGTGGAAGGGGCTCATTTGGTCTCAAATCTGTTTCCAAGCTAATGAAGTAGGACAAAACTCTGAAATGGATTTATTTTTTTTTTCCCCTTTTGTTGCAGTAGCCACCTGACTTTCTCTGGATAACCTGGTAAGGATTTCTCTGCATCTGCCCAAAGAAAGATGCATGAGATGATCTTTGCTGAAAGCAAAAAGACTCTGTTAGGATAATGCATACACAGCCCAGTGGCCCCACCCATTCTGTGCTTTCCCAGCACCTGCTGCTGATGTGTGTAGGTGAGACTCCACAAACTGCCCCCAGTTCTTCCTGCCCATGTCAGACCTAAGGTGCTGTCTTGCTCTTTGGCTGTGAGTGTGCTTGTGATACCTCAGCTGAGTATTTGCTTCTCTTCCTGTAAAGATGGAGAACTTAGAGAAATAACATACTCAGGGCTTGCTCAACTTAGTGTATGCAATACCACAGCATGTGTGATGTGTTCCTAGCTCAGGTCACTCTCAGTGCTGGATGAACACCAGCTTTGTCTTACGACTGCATACAGTCTCTTGGCATTTAGTCTTCAAGCCTTAATGTCTCAGACTGCTGTTGGCACATACTAGTCCATTCCTGCCTTGCCCTTTGTTTGTTAGCACAGCATCTTGGAGCAAAAGGAGTTCTTTCTCCTTCTCTTCCAAAGGTACTCTAGTGTCCACACGTTGCCAGCTCAGCAAAGCAGGACTTGCCCCTGGCAGCACACTGGATGCCAGTATGGTACATCATCCCTGCAGTTACTGACTGGTGCTTTTAGCATGGTTCTCGTGGCATTAGGCTGGCTCTGCATTTCTCCAGAGCTGTGGCAGAGCTGATTACAATTCCAAAGCTCTAGCACTAAGGACAGGCTAGAAATAAGTTGTACATAAAAGAGACACACATGCGTGTATCAGGTGCCTATACAGAAATGGAAGTTGCCTAGGAAATGCACAGAAGGAGCCAGAGCTCTGTGTCTACATGCAGAATTTTACTGGTATTACTGAAATATATTACTGAAATATTACTGAAATGTAATGTGTATGTGGGAGAGCTTCCATGGCTGGAGTGCTCTTTGTGTTGGGATCAGACACCACGTGCCCCAGGAGAAGGCTTCTGTGTCATCAGGACCTGGCCACTGGTGTGGGTGTCTGGGGAGTTACAGAATCATAGATTTATTAGGGTTGGAAAAGACCTCTAAGATCATCAAGTCCAACTATCACCCAACACTACCATGACCACATAGTCCAAAATGCCTCATCAGCATTGTTTTTTGAACATCTCTGGGGATGGTGACTCCACCACCATCCTTGGGGGTGGGGGGAGGTTTGGCAGTGGCAGAGACCTGAGCCCTCCCACCCCTGCGCCAGTGACCTCTCTGTTCAGTGCCTTGTCCCTGGTGTTGTCCTGGGTGCCAGTGCTGTGAGAGGATGGGCATCCTGGCCTGTGTCAGAACTGGTGTGACCAGCAGCAGTAGGGAGGTGACCGTGCCCCTGGACTCGGCACTCGTACTGCGTGTCCAGGACAGGCTCCTCAGAGGACACGTAGGTGCAGGGCTCCCAGCCAGCCACCTGACACTCCTCCTCACCTGGGAGCTGCCTGCAGTGTAGCTGGGCCCATCCTGGTGTGCCTCGCGGTCAGCCCTGCAGCCTGGAGACCTCAGCAGGCGTGGTCAGCTCCCTGCTGATGCCGCAGCGTGCCCTGGTGTGAGGGGCAGCAGGAGTTCTGCTGCTGGGTGTGTCACCCGGCGGTACAGGGAGGGGCAAACCCCTGAGCCCGGGGGCTGGTTTGCTCCTCTTGGCTCCACAGAGCCACCTCCTGGGCACCCCGATCCCTGCGTGCTGCTCCATCCCTGGACCGCCCGCAGCCCTTGGCAGTCTCTAGCTGTGGGAAAGAGCTGAGGAGAGGATTTGTGGGAACTCTTTGCCTTACAGTGCAGCACAGCGTAAGGAGCTGCTGAGTGACTCGGCTCTGCCTGTGCAGCAGCCAGCCAGGTGCTGGCAGAGCCCAGAGTGTCCCTGCAGTGGGAACGTGCTGCACGTTACAAGTGCCACCATCACTGACTTCACCCACCTGCTGGCCTGCCCCTTAGAGTACAGCTAGTGGGCTTTGGAGGTGGTTTAGCAGAGCAACTGTTGCTGTCAGCTCACAGCCCTTAGCAGAAGAAAGCTGTGAGTTCTAGTGGCAGGACACCTGAAGTCACTGCCAGCAGTTTCAGAAGGTAGGTGTGGCAGAGCTTTCCCAAGCAAGACCTCTTGCAGGGCAGGGCAGGTTGGGCTGTCCCCGAGGTGGCACTGTGCTGAAGTGCCTGAGAAGCTCCTGGCATGTAGGTGGCACATGGCTTTCCAGTCTGGTTCAGAGTCACTGTGTCTGAGTGTTGACATGAGGAGTGGGACAGGCGAGATCCAAACTACCCCTTTCTGAAGGAATGCTTTGGGTGGCCTTGGCTTTTTTTCCTAAAAGCTGCTTGTTTGGCAGTATTCCCAGCTCGTCCTGACCAAGCGGGGTGATGCTGAGCAGCAGCAGCCCAGGACTGTGGCACAAAGGGGAAGGAAGATGTCTCTTGCTGTGCACCATGTGTTCAGTCCTTAGCTCAAACCAGCAAAGCCTGTGGTTGGGGTCAGTCTGACAGTGGTGTTAAAAGACACTTCAGTCCTTCTCTGAATCTCCGGCCTGTTGTGGGTGGTCGCTAACTCCGTCCACTAAGGCAAAGTGTTCCTCAGGCAGGCAGAGCACTTGGTGCTTTGGTTCACTGCCTTGGGTGCTCTCCACTGCCTGGCTCAGGCAGACTGATGACTCTTTGCTGGAGCCAACCTGATGGTCACTGTTCATGTCCTTCTTTTTGGTTTCCTGTGAGGCTGAAGCCAATGTGAGGCCTCGCCGCAGCATTTCCACTCGTGCAGTTTTGATCTGTTTGACCTCGGGGCCCTGTGAGCCATGGCTAACCCAACCATTGACCTTCTCCCCAGGTCATCATCGAACGCTATAAAGGGGAGAAACAGCTGCCAGTGCTGGACAAGACCAAGTTCCTTGTCCCAGACCATGTCAACATGAGTGAATTGGTCAAAATAATCCGGTGAGTGGGGTGGCCCCGGCTGGCACGCTCTGAACCTGTCCTCACCCCCAGGCCCTGGACAAAGAGTGGTGGGGTGAGGAGGAGGCAGAGGCAGCTGCTGGGGATGGGGACATGGCAACCACAGCATTGTTGTGTTGTGGTAAAGACTGTATGGGGGGCTTGGGAGGGGGTGGGGACAGACTCTTGGCATCTGGTGAAAGACTGTGAGCTCTCCCTCATAGGGACACTCCATGAGCTGGTGGGAGGGACTCCAATCCCTGTCGTTATCCTTCAGCTTAGATGAAAGAGGTGTCTGCCTTGCCAGCAGCGCTTGGAGAAAGGGGCTTTGCAGGGTCCTCATTCAGGAGGCCTTGGAGCCCCAAGTGGCTCAGCTGGGGTGCTGGACACTGTCCTGAGCATGTGGGAGGAGGTCCCAGCTGTGCAGGCCTGGTGCTGTGTGAGCTTGGGGAGGGCAGAACTTCTTTCTCAGTGCCTTCCCCAGCTGGGCTGACCCAGGCCCTCCTGCCCTTGCCCCCGCAGGCGTCGCTTGCAGCTGAATCCCACCCAGGCTTTCTTCCTGCTGGTGAACCAGCACAGCATGGTGAGCGTGTCTACCCCCATCTCGGAGATCTACGAGCAGGAGAAGGACGAGGATGGCTTCCTCTACATGGTCTATGCTTCCCAGGAGACCTTTGGCTACTGAGGCCTCCTGAAAGGTGGCGTGTGGAGACAGATGAACTGTGGCGTGCAGGCCCTTGGCCTTGGAAGACAACACAACCAGAGGCTTGCAACCTGGGGACTCTGCTGCCTCCCTCTCCCTCCCTCCCTCCCTTTCCCATCACCTTGTCCTCAGAGAGGCTCCCGGCGCGCGTTGGACTCGCACAGCCCCTCAGCCCTGTGTAATTAGCCCCGTGCCCTCCCACAGACAGACGGACCCCCCGCGCCCACCTGGGGCCTCAGCTGCCCGCCTGGTCCCCGTCGTGTCACCTCCAGCTGCAGCTTCTGCCTCCTCCCCGTGGTGTCCCCTCCAGCCGCAGCTGCCCGCCTGGTCCCCGTGGTGTCCCCGTGGTGTCCCCTCCAGCCGCTCTCCCGTGCCCTGCCCACCGCTGCCAGGGTGGTGGTGAGGACAGGCCCCATCCCCTTGGCCTCCAGCCTCCTCCAGCACCACCGAGGGGCAGGAGGGCTGCAAAGGCAGCAAACAGATGTTACCGTTGCTCCCGAGTGTTAATTGATTTTAATTACACCCATATCAGATTCTTGGTGCTACTGAGTAGATGTAGGCATCTCCATAGGGCTGTGGATAGTGTATATCTTTTAGATTTATGTTACTGTTGTTTGGGTTTTTTTCTGTAGGGTTTTTTGGTTTGGTTTGGTTTGGATTTTTAGGGATAGATTGGAATGGGGAGAGGGGCTAATCTTTCCTGTATTCTGTAGGTAGGTAATTCAGGCTTCGTTGCACTTTAAAGCATAGTAGATGTCAGAGTGGAATTTACTTTTAATTTATGCAGGTTTGCCATCCATAGTGCTGCTCCTCTGTTGGCAGTTTTAACTAGACTGTCTTTTTTTTAAGATAAAAGTATTTCCCTTCTCTCTGTCTCCCCATTGCATGAAAATTTTTGGTCTCAGTGTGGCAGAGCTCACTCAAGGAATGTACTGATTTCTATTTGCTAAGATGTTCCCATTCCTGTTTCTCATATATTACACCAAAAACAAATGTGTATGATAAAATCCAACCCAGTTTAATCTATACAAAGGTATATATATAAATATATATAAAATAAACATAAATTCAAGTCGTGTCTTGTAGGAACGTTCTGTTCTCACTTGTCTCTGTTACTGTCCCTAGTACCTCCTCGGATTTGCCTGCTCAGGTGGCTCCTCTGGCAACGGGCTGCTCCTTCTGCCTGGCTGTTGGCCCTGGCTCAGCTGCTCGTGGGCTTCTGTTGCCATTGTTGTTCAAACATAGCTTTGAACCCACTGTTTGCAGTGACGTCCGGCTTCCTCCCAGTCATCATCACTCCTGACCCTCCTGGGCAAATTGGCAACTGTCTCAGCTCAGGTTGTGAGTATGTTTGGCCTTCATCCAAAGCTGCCTTCGCTCGTTTTGGCTCAGGGAGTGTGGGTTAGGTGAGCAGACAGTGAGGTGGATCAAGAGCTGGCAGAGTGACAGAGCTCAGAGGGTTGTGATCAGTGGTGCACAGTCTAGCTGGGGGCTTGTGGCTCGTCTGTTCCCGGGGTCAGCACTGGGTCTGGTCTTGTTCAACGTATTCCTCAGTGACCTGGATGAAGGCACAGAGTGGACCCCCAGCCAGTTTGCTGATACCAAACTGGGAGCAGTGTCTGACACCAGAGCTGTGCTGCTGTGCAGCGAGACCTGGACAGGCTGCAGAGCTGGGTGGAGGGGAACCTGGTGAAGTTCCACAGGGGCCAGTGTAGGGTCCTGCACGTGGGGAGGAATAAACCCACGCAGCAGTGCAGGTTAGGGGCTGGCCTGCTGGCAAGCAGCTCTGGAGGAGGGACTCCTGACAACCCCGACTCAGCTGGAGGAAAGGTTAATGCTGCCCTTCCTCCTCTCACCCAGGCAAGGAAGGAGTTAATGCTGCCCTTCCTCCTCTCACCCAGGCAAGGAAAGGGTTAATGCTGCCCTTCCTCCTCTCACCCAGGCAAGCAAAGGTCCAACACCTGCTTGAGTTCCTCACCACCCCACACCAGGAGGGGCTGAAAGGACAGTAACACATTGGTGTGGGGGCATGACCACCACCATTAAAGAGGCAGACCTGGGAGACCTCGCTGGGACCAGGAAGTGGGGACCTGAAACCCCCTCTCCTTTCCCTCTCTCTCTTCTTTACTTGTGGTTCCTGCCACCCACCCCCTTGGCTGGACTAGTGCTGGAACACATCTCTCTCTCTCTCTCTTTTCCT